AACGTGCAAACCATGCTAAACAGTTCAGTTTTCTGGTTAAACGTGATATTCTCAACAGAATACTAGGTTTCACTTCAACTGTTAGCGTAGCAGAAGCTAAAACAGCGAGTCCCGGGCTTTCAGCGCTCTTCCCAAGCACGCGGGCTCCTGCAGTGCAAGCACAGGTCAGGACCACATGCTCGCGCTTGTAGCATCGGCTGCGTCTAGACTTGAAAGGGCCCTGCAAAGCGTTTCTGGACTTTTTTTTTTTTTTTTCAGATTGCATTGCGTTTGCTTTAACTTGTGAGTGTGACTCTAGCAACACATTAAACATAAAATAAAGAAAAAATCTGACATATTTTGAACATAATAGGTAAAATCTATTCAAAAATTTCAGCACTTTTTTTTATGACGTTCTTGGTTTGAATTTCAGAGAACCTGATTAGAAAATTTATTTACAACACGGTAGACATGACTATGCAAGAAACGCGCTGAGGACAAGAACAATGTGTACACATATCTAAACGACAATAGCGTGCAACAACCATGAGCGATCTTCCTAAATGTTGGGATGAAACATCCAGTTATGAAGATGTGAACGCCCCACCAATTTACGGGTGTTCCAAGCAAAAATTTGATTGAGAGTCACGTGAATGAAAGGATCAGAAGGGGTCACTTGCTGCTATTCAGCCAGTGCTTCCTCTATAGAATTCTATATCGTCATTATCTGATGGTCTAGACCACTGTCGTCACTGAACGCTCGTGTATGATGGCCATACTATACACGAATGATAAGCTATAAAGATACTCGTTTCACTGTTGAAATAGTGCCTACTGCCAAAGAAACGCGGTGAAAGCAGTGAACCCGAACCCAAACCGAACCGATAAAAATTTCGGTTCGACACCCTGATATTTGACTAGAGAAATATAGACAAGCTCAAAATTGATCAATATTATTTTAACATACCCAGCTTAAGATTTTATGAGTAAAAACGACTGTTGGCACAAAGCACACTGCATCGAAACCTGCCTTATGGCAAATTAAAAACAAAAATATGACTCCGGAAAAGATGCTTAGGAACATTCCCAGCCAGGCTGTACTCTGTTTTATACTTAGTGTGCAACGCTGTCAAAGCTACTGTCGCAAGCGTGGGGCTTGATCCCGTTGATCATTTGCGCGCGTTCTCGCGCTTACAAAACTATACATGAAGCCGCGCGCTCGCGCCAGTAGATTTGACAGCGTTGCATATTAAGTATGAAGCAGAGTACAGATATATCAAGGTTTAGCTTTTTTGCATTACTAAGTTCGAATGGTGTTTTTGGGATTTAAGATGCGGGAATAAGATATCCGACTAGACACCCTCACAATATCGGCTACATCGCAATAAAAAATAATTCAAAACAAAACAAAACAAATTTACAACAGTGAAGAGTTTAAAACTGACTTTAGAACGGTGTGATTTTTTTTTAATTCAATACAAAAGAGACGTCATCTAAAGAAAGTCATTATAACTGAGATCATCGGGCAATTTTCTATAACTATAGAACATTCGTTCTCACCCTGTAGGTGACTATACATTGAGTCACAGTTATTTTACATGTGCCACAACGCACATTAACTAAAAAAACGCACCTACTATTTTTTTTTTTTTTTTTTTGTCATTAACGGTTTGCTTACCTGGGTGCAAAGGACAGGCTGAAGCCTTCGGTTCTATCAGCGGAATCACACGCACTGCAAATTGAAAGTCGAAAACTTTCTCCGTGAATACTTGACACAAATCGGCGCGTGGCTGAACAAATAGTTACTCCGCAGACTTTTAAAGAGCAGGAATCAATTTCTTTACCGCGCGTGAATGTTCTAAATGAACATAGCAGGTGGACAACGAGCTTCATTTTCAAGATGACAGCGTGTCTAATTCTGGAGTGTTGTAATCCAGGTTGTATTGTCAAATCCCGGGTTCCAACGTAAGCTTCATTTTAATAAAACAAAAGCTTCGTTATAAACGGGCAATGGCAATAGGGCATCCGTTTTTATACAATAGTAAGAAGATAGACACATGAATTAGTCAATTTTTTTTTCTTAACTCATGGAATGCTTTTTAATAAAACCCTTTAATCCAAAACTTTCGTACGTAAGTCCATCCGACCATTTCTTACATTTCCCGTTAAAAATAAAAGAGAAGTGCGCGTAAAGGGCCCTTACGTCAAGTCAGCTATCTACTCATCCGGTGTCTGCGCTGCATTTAGCGGTATAATTGACGTTACGTGATCTGTACACCAGTTCAGTTTCCGCACTAAATATAATGCGGAGATTGACGTCACATGACCCACACAACAATTACGTTTCCCCACTGAATTTAGCGAGCAAATTTACGCCATATAAACTAACTCTGATTACGTTTCCATGCGAAATTCAGCAGACAAATTCGCATCATGTGACGTCACGAGACCAGTACACCAATTCAGTTTCACAGCTTAGTTTAGAGCGCATTCTATTGGGCGCCACCATTACCGAGACAGGTTCTCTGCAGTGCAGTGAAAATGCATCACGGTGCTTGTGGACGGCGCTAATGCACCCTTCACTAAATGCCGAAACCTCTTCTCGGATAAGGGTAGAGTCAAAGTATAGCCTTCCTTTCCCTCTCGCCACCAACTCATCATTGGCAGATAAAAGGTCACATGCGCCAATTTTTACCTTCACGCTTCCGGGTAAGCAGCTTAAGGAGCACTCGCAGTGTGGGGCGGGATATTGTCCCTCCATATACCATGGTACTTTCTGAGCGTAATGACATACTCTAATCAGCCTAGCTCACTCGCCAACAAAATCTTCTGATACACATGGCGGGTAACGGCTGCCAGGGATAGAAAAGTATCATTTTTAACAACTACGCGTGTGTGTAAAGGGAAAGGTTGCTGATTTAAGCGACGTTGACAAAGGAGAGATTGTGATGTCAAGATAACTGCTGACCGCAGCTACACCCATTCGTTGCTTGTCCTCCTCACAGGAACAGGAATCTTTCAACAGGACAACGCTCCGTGTCGCTAGGCCACAAATGTGTTACAGTGGATCGAAGAACATTATGATGAGCTCCAGTTGTTGTCTTGACCCCATAACTCGTCAAATGTCCGCACTATTGAGCACATCTGGGATACGATGGGGCACAAGCTCGGAGCTCATAAACATCTTTCTGTTAATCTACAGGAACTGCGTGACGTATACTCACAAATTTGGTACAATCTAAATCAAGCCACCAACCAAGTACTTGTAGAATTAATGCCAAGATGAGTTGCCACAGTTTGGCGTGCAAATGAGGATGAACTCGATATTTGATGGGTGGCCATAATGTTTTGATTGATCAGTATATATACGTCGTTCAAACAAATGATTGTTGATTTCTTTCAGAAGCTAACCGAATGTTGAGCTGGGATCACTGTCACCAATGTGTGACCAGTCGTTTCGCACCTTCATAATCATTGTCACTTTCTAACAAGCCAACTTCGGTCAACGGAATAACCATATTTTTCCCATGACAACTCCCAAAAAATAAGCTTTTGTCGGATTTTTAGACGGAGAAACACTCGCAGCGCAGTGTTCTTCTTGCCTAATCATCATTCGTTAAGCTGGATAGGTTGACCCATTAAGTCAGAAAATGTTTCAAATGAAATCGTGTTACAATTGTGCAGCTGCGATAGAAAGACAAACAACCCACACCGCTAAATTTCGCACCCACTATTCGCGCGCTGTTTTTCTTTTTTTTTTTTCTTTTTGGCGTTACAGGATGAATTTGTGTTTAGGCATACATCCCTTTCCTGTTAATTGACGGAGGTTGCGTGAAACCTGTGGCTAAGATGCGTTTCCGTCTGACGGATCGTGATTTCTAGCCGTATGACGATTAAAATGCTTACCATTAATGTTCAGTCTATTAGGCAGAAGTTAATTGCCTATATTCAATACACCGGCTTGGCGGAGCAAGCCGCAGCCCGATTGAAAGGGTTCCACCGTATGCATATATTCATTCATCTACACTTAGATGCCGTTTCGGAACAAAGATGTCGATTCACAGCGTTTCGTCGCGCTCTTAAACTACGATACCTGAAACGGGTATCGCACTGGAGTTTATACAGCGTCTTTAAAAGAATCTTAACAACTACAACGCTAAGACAACACACACTTAAGACACACACAGCGCTGACTTACAACTCAGTTGTACTTTTTGGGTCCTTTAGCGCGAGGAACGAAAATAGCAAAATTGCTTCGTATTCTTCGTCTTCGAGAGAGGCGCAACGTTATCTTTTGTTTCTCACTTGGCGTCTCATCTCTCCATTTACCAAAAATTGTAGCTCTTTGTTTGATATCGTCAAGGAGAAGGCACTGACACATCCTGTCTGTGTGTGGGTTGATGTCTTTGCGCTGTTGTTATGATGCTCCAACTCGCCCAAGCTGCCATCCTTAAAAGCGGTCCCTCGATTTCCGTCCGATAACGTCATAAAAGCGATGGTGTCACAGGCCGCGCGATCCTGGCGTTGTCGCAGCATCATTAGTGAATGGGGCAGACGCCCGTTCAGCTGCAGGTCGCTCTTCAACTGCTTGACGGCCCTCGGACACTTCGGCGGCCGGTTGCGAAACACCGTGACAACAGAAAAATCAATGCGCAACTTTATTGGTTCTCAATAATTTGTATGACGCAAGCAATGACAATAAACTCGATTGATTGATTGATTGATTGATTGATTGATTGATTGATTGATTGATTGATTGATTGATTGATTGATTGATTGATTGATTGATTGATTGATTGATTGATTGATTGATTGATTGATTAATTGATTGATTGACACCCGCGATCACTCGTACTTTTTGCCCAGATTTCTAGCCCCAGCCGCCAGGACGGTGACATCTCAAAACATGAAACGACGGCGTCTGCTACGTTATTTGTAGCCACTTCGAGACCACTTTAGACGTGTGGGAGGGATAATATATGGTAGGCACACCCGTGGAAGTCGCCTTCCGGACAGCGTACTTACACGGACTCCTCGACCTCTATGCCTGCGTAGAGGTAGTCGTCCATGCGCATGAGGTACTTGGAGAGCTTCAGGGCGACCGTGACGATGCAGCTGAACAGGAAGCACACCAGCCAGAGCGCCAGCCAAAACCCGTTCTGGAGGACAAACAGCCACTTGGAAGTAGTACCACTGGCGGTCTTTACAAAACCCTTCTCAGAAGAGATTACTAGCCCCAGTCACATTAATGTCTTAAACGGAACTACCAGAAGAGCTTGCATGCCCATAGACCTTCGCATCGCTTATCACCCGGACAACAAATGCTGAGTCACTGAGCTGTGAACGCGTGCGCAGGATCTGATCTACCTTAAAGCAGAGCTACAGCGCATGCTCAGAAGGCCTTCGACGGCCCAGCAGACAAAGGTGGCAGCGGGCAGAAGGCGAATTTTACAGAATGTCTATATACGAAGTCCGACCCAAAGTTTCGGGCACTAGTTTTGTAGCCTGAAAAAAGAAGGCATCATGTTGATGCGCGCGCCGCTGTCGAAGACAGGGGACATTTATGTCTCGTTGCGCCAAAGGGCGTCGTGCTGTGAACATTTGGAGCTGCGCTATACGAGTTCTCTGGACAACGTGTCAAAGAGCAGAGGCGATTTCAGCATATTCTGCAAACCAAAGCGAGAGCCAACATCAATTCCGTGCCAAACTCGCCAAAGCGCTCTGTGTTGTTCGTTTATTTTACTTGTCCGTTGCCTTTTAGCGCTTTTACTCTCGAAAATATGGATCACCAACTAGCCCAAGTGCATACCCTTCAGCAAATCTAAAAAATAACATTTCAAACGCTTCGGCAGGCTTATGTCAAAAATTCAGTGAGGCGTGTAAGGTTTATCTTTTTAAGTGGCACACGGGCTTCAAGAATGGCAGGGCATGACTGGACGACGAAGATAGGTAGGAGACCTTCACCGACCTCTCTTCGGCTTGCCCAAGCTCCATTCGGCTTCAGGACTCGTGACATGTCCTGGGTATCTTATTGTTGCCTCACAGCCAATGAACTTGCGGCATTCGGTAATAAGAACGCCGAAGATCAAATCACAAGTCAAGAATCGTGAACATAATAAGTCCTCGCTTTACGTTTCTAACGCCCTCAGTGATTGCAGCAATTGAGTTTCGCGGTCAAGCAGAGCTCACCAAATGTACAATGTTGGACTCGCAGAACGCGTTGAACGCACTTTTGTAGAAGCTGAAAAGCGGCTTGCAGTTGCCGAGCGATTCGTAAACCTGTCACCGAAAAAAAAAGAAGAAAATACCAAGTAAGAAGGCTTGGAAAGAACGGTTGTGTGACCAGAACTCACGTAATCTTTAACCGAGTCCAATGTCGCCAACTTGTCACCCACTTTTGGCAGCATGTAAGAGAGTAGGTGCTGAAAGAATAAAATATTCAAAACAAACATTGTTACCGATTGAAGGGTACATGTAAAAAAAAGGCTATGTGAGTTTACTTTCCTACAGAATGCGAAGACCCGCAATCACAGCGAGCGATAGAAGGTAGAAGGATTCAAGCTGTTTTAGGACAGTCGGTCGCACTCAAACGCAAATGTGTGAACCAGCCTTAACTAGTTCCAGATCAATCCCTAGAAAGACATAAAACTCAAATTCGCCAGGTGCTGTTCATACGCACACTTGGAAATAGATGGTTTATAGGGGGTACGCCACTTGTCCCATTTGTGTAACACCCTAAAACTACATTTGGACGTTCAGTCCACTGACGTCGAGCTGGCGATGCCAACTTTTACGAGCGGCTTGATAGCTTTTGGATATAACGTACTAAATAACTAATGTCCGTATAAAAGACTAGAAGAAAAAAAGACAGAGGTTTTGCAGCCGTGCCAGAAAAACCTTGTTTTTTGTTGCTGTAGCCTTTAATGCGTACGTTGGCTATTTTAATAAGTTGCATACATGTACATGTTACCTCAAAAAAGTAACTAAATACCGTTACTCGTTACTCGCAGAAAAAGTGACTAATTACGTCACTCGTTACCGATTCTCAAAAGGAACGCGTGAGTTACCTCAAAAGTAACGAGCTACTTTACCCGTTACTTTGACGACCAAATACAGAACAGTTTTTGTTTCATGATTTATTGTTTTCTTTTGAGTAGTCACTGCACCTAAGCAGTAGCTACCTCTCGAAGATTTCATCAGTTATGTTTTCCCGCTTCACTGAGAATTCATCTCCAGCGACGCTGAAGAGTCGTTCTACCAACGCGCTCGAAGGAACGGCAGTGTTATGCTGCAGGAAACGCTGGTGAATCTTCGCGAACTGCGCTTTCACTGAGGACACTGGGTAATGAGTTATGTGCCTTCCAGGCAACCTCCGGGTTTACATCCGGTCCGTACCCTGTCCTAGGAGGTTCAACCAACGAACCTTATTGCGTTCGCTGGGTGAAGGACATTCCCAGAGTTCAGTACAGCAACGTTTATCGCTGGACACGACAGACGAGCTGTTCGGCTGACGTGTTCAGCGATAAACGTTGCTGTACTGTCACACTGTTTAGTCGTTTTTCGGGTAGACCACCAACCGTTCTCGCAATAGACGCAGAATCAGGTTAGAATAAAAACAAGACCGCTTAAGCGGTGTTGTAGACGTTACTCCCCAAAAGTAACTAGACACCGTTACACTTTACTTGACTTTAAAAGTAACTAAATACGTTACTCGTTCCTTTTTTAAAAAAGTAACTAAACACGTTACTCGTTACCGAAAATAGTAACTAGGTAGAAAAACTCGTTACTTGTAACGCGTTACGTACCTGTCTGATAAGTTGTATCGGTCGACCATCAAGCCGCACTTGAAAGTTGCTATCGTCGGTTAGACGTCTGTGGACTGAACGTCGAATTGTAGTTTTGGAGTGTTACCTATGGGACAATGGGCTATACCTCTATACCCCCCCCCCCCCCCCCTATTTCTTAGAGTGCACTCTACGAAATGCCTGCGCGTCTACTTACCCACAAAACACTCGAAGGGCCAATCATTGCGACCTAGGAAGTCAGTTCAGCAAATGATGAGGCGGAACATCCGTGTACACCTAAAAGGAAGACTGGGCTGTGGCAATACGCAATGCAAAGCGTCATGCTTGCATCGCGTAATGCCACAGTGCCCACTTAATTTTAAGGTCTAAACAGATGTTCCGCCTCATCATTCGCTGAGCTGATTTCCTAAATAGCAATGATTGGCTCTTTGAGTGTTTTGCAGGTAAGTAAACACGCAGGCACTTCTGTAACGTGGCGATGCAGGAGAGTGGTTCATGACTATATCGAGAAACAACGCAAAAAAGAAAGACGCAAGGACGAGGAGAAGAAGTGAGCGGGACGAGCGCTGACTCACAACTGAAAGTTGCTAATATTAATATTCCGAGATTTGTTTTAAAATTAATATATACTTCATAAAAAGCAAACTCACTTGATTCATAGTAGCTGTGAGAATGGAATCCCTCTCCGGCCATGTGGCACTTATAGTCCCGCAGGTAACTGCGTCGTGATTCCAATGAGCGAATGTCTGCAAAACCGTATATGGAATATAGAGGCCGTTTCTTTGTAAGGGAAGGCACTACTCGAGAAGGCGAACTTTCTAACCTTAAGCCCCATGTGTCTGTAAACTTCAGGGCATGTTTATAGTTAAGAAATAGAATGACAGGCAAAGTATTACGTTTATAAGCTTAGCCTTCAAAGAGTTACGTAAAAGTGCAGCAAACAAACCCCACGCCCTCAGATCAAAACTACAGTCTAGAAAAGGTAATCATAGCGGCCAGTTCTTTGGTGAAACATACGGTACAACACCCGTGTCACGCGGATATTTAAAAAAAATATAGAGATTATAATATTCTAATAGATTACAAAATGTGAAAAGAGTTTGTACGTTATTTAGTTTGAACATACTGCACATTTTCATAACAAAAGTCCTCGAAAATGCTGGAAGTAAGCTCCCAGCCGCGTTCCCTACAAACTTTCAGTACAAAAACTTCAAAAGCTGGTTCCACATATCAATTCATTATTAATACCGAGATTTTATGCCGAAAATTGAAACTGAGATAAACGCGTTTGAAAGTTCAGAAACCTGCACCTTAGAGAACATTGGCATGTCGGAAATAATTTGTTCCGGAGAGAAATACTTAAGTTGAAGAAGTAAAACTTTCTAACAGCGTCTGTCAAGATATCTGAAAGCTGATAGGGCTACTTGCTAAACATGTGACACCAAAAAATGCAATGCTAATGTTGTGTTCTCCTTTAAAAGCTACTTTTTGTAAAGCTACTTTACTGCGGTTTGTGCCCGTTAGTTGTACGGCAAGAGAGACATAGTATAGGGGGCTACTCTTAACAATCATTCGGCGAATTGCCGAGAGCATACCTCGGCAAAACTCACTCATGAGTGCACTCACTCATGTCACTCACCTTCACTGATCAGGCATGAGATGAGGGTGAGTGATTTCATAGTTCTCGAAAACCCATGAGCTTGAGGTTGAGCGAGGGTCGTGAGTTCGGTTTGTTCTTGAATTCGGTGAGTTCATGAGTTCATGAGATCAGTGAGTTCATGAGTTCGGTGAGGGGCGTGAGTTCATGAGCTCGGGGAGGGGCGTGATTTTATAAAGTAGGTGAGTTTATGAGTTTGGCGAGGCATAAGGTGCCCGGGGGGTCATGGGTTGGATCAGGCTTTGCGGGGTGACGTCAAAGAAGGCGGGTCATGTGACTTTTCCGTTCATTTCTGGGAAAGCTGAGTTGACGTTCGCTTCGCAATGACGCTGTTGGCTCCTACGGCTGGTTCTCTACGAGGGATGGGAAAGGAGGAAAAATACCTATTGATTTATTTGTGCTTTTCTGCTTCGGCTCGCTTTGCGACGGCCAGGCGGGGTCTTCTGCCATTGGTCGCTACTTCGTGGCGGCATGGCTCCCCTAGGGAGCCTTCACGTGCACACGAAACCACCCTAGGCTCCCCCGCTCGCATCGGCCGCTCTCGTGTAGACTGCGAGGCACAGATATACGCACGGTGTTTGATTGGGTCGTGAAGGATGCAAGCGGGCACTACGCCTGTATGTCTGAAGGCAGACGTTGCTATATCGATTACGCTCGTCTTATGCACGACTCGCGAATCCTGAAGCCCATAGTAAAGTGAAAGCCGCCTGGTAACTGTCGTGATTCGCCTGTATGCTTCTCTGTCCAAGTCGTAGCCTGAAGGTTTGTAAAATAAAGTACGCACACACGTCTTCGTGCTCGAGTGCGCCCGAAACGCCGGACTTGTTCGCACTTGGGTGTAAAGGCTGCTACATTTACTTGGTAGCATATAAAAGTTAATTTCATTGTGGATTGCCGTAGAAAAATTGCAGACGATAATCTTCTAGGTTACATTCAAAAATATATTAAAGGTACTTTTTACATTCACTTAATATTGGTGATAACGAATCGACGTCCCCAACCAGCTACCCGATACCCCATTAGTCGCTCAAGACAAGGCCATTGAGCATAGTTAGAATACTGGCTGAAACTGAAAACGTTTCGCGCGCCGGTTTTTGGTTCCTATATATTATTTCTTATCAACCCGTACAGGTCGCGACGGTGCACGTCTCAGTCGTTTACTTGGAGCGCTACTTGTTTTCTTAGCAACATGATTTATATTTATACGAGTAAATAACAGAGGGGAGGAAGTAACATCCAAGCCTAAATAATTAAAAAATATCTTATATGCGTGCGTGCCCGAAAAAAACTAAGCGCCCATTTGTTTTTTTATGTTTTTTTTATTTAGCGAAACAAATTTTGAAGGATTGGAGGCCTTTTATTTAAGTTACATGACCGGGCCATTCCACCTCCTCAAATATAGCGTGGATATCCGAAGTAGGCTATCAATAGTTTCGAATGAAGTAATTTACATATTGAAGGTAAAAGTACTTGCGCTTACACTAGGCCGTTTATTTATGAAATTAATGAAGGCAAATTAAGCCTTACGAACCATCGAAAACAAATAAATTATTTTAAGAGAAAACACAGCTCTGTATATGTAATGTGTAAACATTCGCTTAGCAACAAGAATATCGAAGGCATCTGACACCGATGACGATTTTATGTCAGGATCAATAAAGTATAGGCTTTTTGAGGCACAGAATAGGTAGATTAGAACGTCCCAGTTTTACTTGGTATGCGCGGTGCAACAAAAAATAAAAGATTCAATAAAAAATAATATACAGTAATATGGTACGCAAAAGTTCGTCTATCAATCCTTCTTCCAGAAAACAAAAAATAAAATATCAACCAGGCAGTTATTTTAGTCGAAACACTTCGTGTGAACAATGATAAATATCAAGAGAGACCGCTCCGGAATAGTTCTACTCGACAACGTATTGCCGCGCAAACCGTCCTAACATTAACGTGAAGTTCGCAAAATGCTTTGAAGAAAAGAAATACACGCACACCCACGGATGCGTGTTGGAATAATAGTAATTCACACCTGACTAACCGGCGATGGATACGCTTACTCGATACCAGCACGAAGTTTTCGCGAGTTCTTGAAATGAACAGTACACAGCGTAAAGAATTCTTCATAAAACTCACGATGAAGCGTCCTTGTATTCTAAGGAAGCGCGTCTTCCTCAAGCGCTCGGCCGGCACGCCCAAGAAGTGGAAACGAAACAAAGAAAAAGACGAAACATTTCTTCACTTGGCGACGTGACTGTTGGAGCCGGAGCGGCGGAAGACAGCACCGACCGCGGCGGAGCTGTAAAAGCCGCGTGACCCGCGCTCAACACGAGCGCCAGCGCCGCGACCACGATGAGGCCGGGAACTACTTCTGAGTAAGTGAGTTTATGAGTTCGGGGAGGTGCGTGAGCTTGTGAGCTCGGTGAGTCCATGAGTTCTTGGATTAGGTGAGGGGCGTGAGTTTGTGAGTTCGTTAAGTGGCGATAGTTCGGTGAGTTTATGAGTTTAGCGAGTTCATGAGTTGGGTGAGGTGCGTGAGTTTGTGAGACCAGTGAGTTCATGAGTTCCTGAGTTAGGTGAGAGGCGTGTGTTTGTGAGTTTGTTGAGTGGCGCTAGTTCGGTGAGTTTATGAGTTCAGCGAGTTCATGAATTCGGTGACGTGCGTGAGTTTGTGAGATCAGTGAATCCATGAGTTCCTGAGTTAGGTGAAGGGCGTGAGTTTGTGAGATCAGTGAGTCCATGAGTTCCTGAGTTAGGTGAGGAGCGTGAGTTTGTGAGTTCGTTGAGTGGCGATAGTTCGGTGAGTTTATGAGTTTAGCGAGTTCAGGAGTTCGGTGAGGTGCGTGAGTTTGTGAGATCAGTGAGTCCATGAGTTCTTAAGTTAGGTGAGGGACGTGAGTTTGTGAGTTCGTTAAGCGGCGATAGTTCGGCGAGTTTATGAGTTTAGCGAGTTCAGGAGTTCGGTGAGGTGCGCGAGTTTGTGAGATCAGTGAGTCCATGAGTTCCTGAGTTAGGTGAAGGGCGTGAGTTTGTGAGTTCGTTGAGTGGCGATAGTTCGGTGAGTTTATGATTTTAGCGAGTTCAGGAGTTCGGTGAGGTGCGTGAGTTTGTGAGATCAGTGAGTCCATGAGTTCCTGAGTTAGGTGAGGGGCGTGAGTTTGTGAGTTCGTTGAGTGGCGATAGTTCGGTGAGTTCATGAGTTTAGCGAGTTCAGGAGTTCGGTGAGGTGCGTAAGTTTGTGAGATCAGTGAGTCGAGGAGTTCCTGAGTTAGGTGAGGGGCGTGAGTTTGTGAGTTCGTTAAGCGGCGATAGTTCGGTGAGTTCATGAGTTTAGCGAGTTCACGAGTTCGGTGAGTTTATGAGTTCACGGGTGAGGACTTGAAGGTGAGTTGGGCCGTGAGGGTGAGAGTGAGCGAGGTGAGTTTTTAATTTTTTTTATTTTAATTTGAGCTAGCTGCGAGAGAGTTTAACCGAAAATGACAACCTTTTGGCTAAGAGTCATGAAAAACCGCTTAATCAGTCAATATTAAAAAGATGTAGAGCACGTGAGAAGCAAGATGGAGAGTTGAAGCCACCACTCGCGCAGCAGGAACAAGGCTATACGCATGCGAAGACGCGCCCGCTCATTTTTCCGTTTTCTCAACCAGAGGAGGAGGAGGAAACTTTATTATTCTTCCGGGATCAGGTATTGGGGGTGGTGGAGGATCAGAGGGCCGCCGCGATCGCCAGGGCCCGGGAGGTGGTCAGGACTTAGGCTGACTCCTCCGGGTCGCGCAACATCTGCTCCCAGAGGTGAGGGGAGGGAAGAGGGGGGTATGGGTCTGCGGGGCATTCGCAAAGGGAATGGTAATGAGTGTCGAGTACCCCGCAGGCCGGACAGGCGGGGGTGGTAAAGAGGTGTGGGTGAGTGTGTATTAGTTGTGTTCGGTGGGGGAAAGTGTGTGTTTGTAAGAGGCGCAGCATGTGTGCTGCCTCTTGGGAGAGGTGGGGGTGCGGAAGTGGGTATTGGCGGCGGAGGAGGCGGTAGTGTAGGGTAATATTCCTGTATTGCAGTAGGGAGGTAGGCTTGCCTGCAGGGGCATCGCGTGTAGGCGCAGTTGAAACGGCGGCTCGGTCGATAAGTTCGCGAGCACGATCGTGCACCATCTCATTAGCGCCTACGCCTGTGTGGGCCGGTGTCCACAGCAGTGTCACGTTGTCGGATGGAGGGTTGTTGGTGAGAATTTGGAAGGCCATGGGGGAGATATTGCCGCGAATAAAATTGCGGATGGCCTGCTGAGAATCAGATAGGACGAATTGGGAAGTGGGGCTCTGGGCGAGCGCAAGGGTAATGGCCCAACCAGAACCTTGTGCCTGTTGGACGAGGGTTAGCTTTGGCGCTCTAAGCTACGCTGCCCACGCGCTCAGTCTTTATCAAAAATATTTCGTGTTTTTCTATGAGGCTCGGCAAATTTTCAATTTGAACAATATGTCTATTTTCACTAATTAAAAGCTAATTAGCAAAATTTTTTTATTACTCGACTTATAGTGACGATTAGCCCACTATACAAGGCTCCTTGGCCGTATAACTCACCAGCACAAATCGCATTAGTCTAGCTTTCACGGCGTCTTTTTACACAAATATTCAGTGCTTTGAAGAATCTTGAGCGAAACAAGATTTACACCTACCTGTGCTTGCACCAGATCTCCTGTCCCCGCCTAAAAACAAAAAAAAAATTTAAAAAGTTAGATTTTGAAGAAAAGAAACAAAATCACGATCAGACAGCAAACTGAAACAAAGTGAAAAGTTGGGGAATAGAAGAGTAGGAATACGTCGGTATTCGTGGCTTGAAAATTCCGCAGTTCTTCTTTCGGTTTTTTATTATATTTTAGAGTCAAATGACAGCGCAAACGAAACTTATACCTTCCGATTTATAACTTGCTTAAGATCTTTCCCGGGGGAAAAAAATTGGCATGTAGAACGCGTTTGAAAAAAAAAATTTCCAAACGCGTTCCACATGCATTGCATTTCTAGGGCCTCATTACGCAGCTCCTTCTGCTGGCGCGGTACGGATGCCACTCCAGGAGTACATTACGAGGGTTTTGTAACCCTCCTAACGTGCCCGTCGCAGTGGTCAAGTGACGTCATGTGACGTCATGGAGCACTTAGAACACAAGGCCTGCACGTTCCATCCTCTAAACGTCATCACTAGTAGGTCCCTCAGCACCACCTAGCTACAGCAAGGCATGTAGTTGGGCTAGTTGGTGGTACATAATGTTTGGAGGGAACAGCGCAAAAAGGACGTAGGACGAGGTCGAAGAAACACACAGACAGGGCGCTGACTTACAACTGAACTGTAAGTCAGCGCCCTGTCTGTGTGTTTCTTCGACCTCGTCCTACGTCCTTTTTGCGCTGTTCCCTCCAACCACCTAGCTATCCTGGATGAGCACCATGGTGCTCATCCAGGATAGCTCCATTGCCTGCTTCAGTGGTTTGTGTAGCAGGTAACGAAACAGATGCTCGTACCGAGTGTCTGTTGCTACAACATGCGATAAAGTTAGACGTTCACGGGGAGCATCAAATGTATGCGTGAAAATGCCTCACTGCTGTGCAAGGATCTGCAAAGCCCTTCGCTGGACGCAGGCACTCGACGCCATTTTTGAGGGCCCTGTTTATAGTCCGTTCAAATGCCCCAAGCACGAGTGTTTGAGGTCGCTGCTTCGAAGTGTTCTTCCGCAGAAGGAGCGCTCACGCTAGAAATGCATGTCACAAAGCCAGGAGCGCGTGCTAGCTCGAGCTTGCAACATTGAAGGGAGTATAGGACCCATGCTCAAAGCAAGCTCACATTAATTGGCTGCTAAGACCGGCAATGTCGATGGTGTCGCATGCACGCTGCAAATGAACTGTGGAAGCTCGCTATCAGCTCCCGCTCAGCAGTCGCGCACACGGCTGTGGCCGCCAGTGAATGCGACCATAGTTGTGACGCGGCCCATGCTCTCGTCAAGCCTTAAGCGGGTTTCACATGCAGCGATTTTGGCCCTAAAGCGGCGCGATTTCTGCCGCCGCGGCGCTCGTACCGCAGAATTGCTGGTGCTGGCCAGAGCGCCGCGACGGCAGAAATCGCGCCGCTCTAGGGCCAAAATCGCTGCATGTGAACTAGGCTTTAGGCTGTTCGCCGCTTGGGGTGGGGTCGGGGATCTACTAACGATGACGTCATGAGCTAGCCATGTCTTCGAGGTGGAATCGTCCTCCTGCTCTCTCTCGGTTTCTTGACGCATAAATGCTATGCATTTAATAACAATAAGAAGAATAAGAAATATATCACATTTAATATATATATATATATATATATATATATATATATATATATATATATATATATATATATATATTATTGTATTGTTCGTTCCTATGGTTGTCATCACAATAACGACAAGCAACCTTGTATTCGTTTGTCTTTTCCTAAAGTAATTCCGTTGTTAGTACGGTGCCTGGAACGCGTCTCCGACTGGTGTGTTTACCACGGCCAAAAAAGGGGTCCCTCGATTTTCGCCTGATGACGTCATAGACGTGTCATGCTGTCGCCGGTCGCGACCCTGGCGGCGTCTCAACAGTTGTAGTATATATGGCAGACGCCTGTTCTGCTGCAGGTCGCTCTCCACTTTGACAGTTCACGGAAGCTAGAGCAGCCGGAAGTTGGGACGCCGTGACGACTGCGACACTCGCGTTCGCTCGTGCTTTTCGCCAGCATTTCTACGGCCAACCGCCAGGGTCACGACAGGCAACAGCATGACACCCCGGCTTCTGTGACGTCATTTGTTGCCACTTTGGGACCACTTTCGATGTATGGGCGGGATAGGACGCTAAACACACCAGTCGAAGACGCGATCCAGGCACCATAGTTGTTAGTATGCTTTCAGACGGCGGGAAGTTCACCCTAGGGTGCCTTCATGTGCGCTCTGCTTAGGGTGGTGGCATCTCGCCATTTTGTCACACACGTTTATTTTTATTTTTTGTTCAGAAGCGCGTGAAAGAGCGTGTACCTGCACGCGCTTGTGGCGCTGACTGTGCTATGGCGACATTTTGTTTTCGTCGATTTCTTTGTATTTTTCCCGTGAGCGCGTGCTGTCGGCATGTGGTACTACAAAGGGTGGCACCACCCTAAACAGAAGGACATTGAGGCACCCTAGTTAACCCCAATGGGCCTAAGGTGCCACCGCTGCACAGGATGTTCTCGAGCGCTAATCGGGCGTCAAAAATTCGTATAATCGAACCAATGAACGGAATCCATGTAAATTTTACACAAAGGTGTCTTTAGTTGGTGCATGTATTATAGTCAGAATTTATGAGTGTAGGTTACAAGAAATAAGTTTACCTCAAAAAGCTTTTTTTATTATTTTTTAAGCAGGAGGAAAACGAAACATATTCTGGCTGACTTCGCTACGCTAATCAAAGATGGCGCACCATAAAGCAAAAACGTCAAAGCTTTTTTGAGATGAGTTCCCTAAAGAACGCTCAGCAGAGCAGCGCGTGCGTGGTGTCATCTGTGAGTGCAGCGTCGACAAGAAAGTTCTCGCCGCTTTCCTCTCTTTGAAAAGAAATAAGGCAGTTTTCATTTTGCGTAACGTAAGTCAAGTACGAGCGTGTTGTTAAGGGTACTGAATGTAAGGAAGGGACAAGGGACGGACAACAACGACAAACGAAAACTCCCAAAAAGTTGTCGTTGGTCGTTGTTGTTTGTCCCTTGTCTTCTTCTCATTTTCAGTTTTCATTTTGGCTTAACTTTTTTTTTTTGCTTTTTTTGCTTTGCACTTGCGAATTTTCAGTATAATAATATGCACCTCCCCGAGACACCATTGTGAAAAGTTTTAATACACTCCGTGTATTGGTTTATGTGTACTCTTATTTTACGTCCGAATCGCACTCGAGGACCCCCTGAAGATGAAAAATTTAGCCGGTGAAGGTACGCTCTCTAGCTTGGGATCTTTGACGTGCAACCGGCAGTAGTGCGCCGGTACGACTCTCATCCGTATTGAAGAGGGCAGGGGTGGAGAAGGAACAGAGGATCTCTGCGTTCCGCAGTTTGTTTCTCAACGTAATATAAATATGTTCTAAAATAAAAATAAGCGCGTACTTTAAAGGAACATCTTAACCTAAGAACAGCACATCTCGATCGACGTACTATTTTTACAACAGCCACCAGGTTGGATCGGAACACCTCCTAGAGTACAGGGCCACGGCGTTGGATTGTCTACTTCACCTAGTCAGGCCTTCACAGGGCAAAGTTTGAGCACGAGTGCCGCACTAGCGCTTGGTTAGTACGGCATTGATGCGTCAGCCTACGCTGCACGCTAACGCACTAATTTTACACGAGTTACAGGCGAACGCTGCCGCGGCACTCCAGTAGGTGAGAGAGAAAACTCAAACCACGTGACCTATTCACTCATTCAGGTTCCCCGCTAAATATAGCGTTCAAACTGACGTCACGTAACCTATGTACGAGCTAGTTTCCCAGCTAGAATTGGCGGGAAAGTCGTTCAAAATATTGGCTTTTCACTCCCAGAATTGAGTTTAATCTCATCTGAACAAGTTAAAACGATGGCTCCTTAAAGTTCATACGCTGTTTATAAGACTAGGATGGCGGAGGGCGCCGTTGTACTTGTTTGTCTAAGCATATTCGTCAAAACATATTTAGGGCTTAACAGATGCTCAGCCTCACCATTCGCCCCTCAGTGGATTGCAGCGATCGGCTCTCTAAAGTGTCTCTGCGGGAAAGTAGACAATCCTGATCTCTGACGGAAAATTTAGCCGGTAGATTTGGAGCGATCCCAATCCGCTCCACGCGGATTTGGATCGCTTTAACGAGGAGCGAATATCATCTCGCGTTTGCAGGTGCGTAAAGATACCAAGAAAAAACCGCGCCGTAAACGCTCCAACTCTACTAGCCGAATTTTCCAATAGAGTGCACCTTTATACAGTGTTGGCGGAAACACGTTACAAGTAGCGGTGTCACCTATAACGTGCTACTTTTTTCGGTAACGTACTCGTTATGTGGCCAGAACAGTAACGGATAACGCACATACGTTACTTATATCGAGGAAAGAATGACCCAGTAACGTTACTCGTCACATGTTCTGAAAACTTAAGCAAAATTACACTGCCAGTTTTTTCCGTATTTCTAGGCGCCGTCGTATGAATTCTCGCGTATCTCGCATTTTTACTCACGTTTATTTATTTATTTATTCTTTGTGAGCGTTTGGATGTAACCGTAAAAACAGATCATGTAGTTAGGCAAAGGTTTCCCATGCAAATAATATTTCTTGGACTATGTCGCTTATGCGTAACTTGTACGTCAATACAGTAACACTTTTTAATTCACAAATAAATTGAATGGAAAATTAACGTGCGTTATTTTTGTCGGTATAACAGTGTAACGCGTTCCTTTTATTTTGAAGTAACGCAGGAAGGAAACCCGTTACTTTTATTTGCAAGTAACAAGCAACGTATTTCGTTACTTTCTTTCGGCTACCCCTACAACCTCCTACCATACCGCGTCGACGGAGAGCCTGTCCAGTCCTTTAACCTTATCTTCCAAAGTGGTCAATAGCAGACCAAACGCTGACGTGGACCATTTCTGGCCCGTACTCAAGCCGTCTGCGCTTAAGCCCGAGTTGCTTCGGAGCCTGGATATGTATTTCGGTGGATTCTGAAGAAAAAG